TGATGATGAAAAACAATAAAGTTTTTCATTCAGTTATAAGTGTAATTAATTTTTCTCTCGTCGAAGGCGGCAGGTATAAGTGAGGCACCACAAGTTTCATTTCATTCCGTAGCTGCCTTCTCCACGCCTCTTCCTCCTCCTCTTCCTATTCCTACGTCTCTGCGTCCGACCTCCCCCCCCTTTTCTTCAAAGTTCCCAGCCTACATGATGCTGCTGGGCCAATCCAGACCTGTGACAATTTTCCTTCAATGTCAGAGACGGGTCCTCTGAAAATGCTTAAAACCCCTTGTGCTTTTATAGTTGTGATTCATACAACAGACCTCGAGAGTGTGTGCATGTGTGTGAATGTGTTTGTATGCTTTTGCCTATATGTGGACGTGTGACGCACGTGCGCAGCACGGACGCTCGCTTGTTGATGCACCTCAGCAAGTCATGTGAAAGAAAAAGTTTGTCGCGAGTGCATTTTCTGATTTGCATTTTCCCGAATGGGGCAGGTATCAGATCATACGCTTATTATCACATCCGCCCAATCGTCCGCTCGTCACTCCACCCGTCTGTCCGCTTCCACCTCGACTGGTGCACACAGACAGGCTGATGCGAACTATGCCCGAGAGTCTCTAGAATGCTCGGCCCAGACGAGCCAAGCCCATACAGACGACCCGACCCCTCACACCCCGCGCACCCCGCGCACCCCTTTACACTTTTGTCGTGCCCCTTTCACAGGCGTCGGTAGACATGCCTTGCGTCTGGCAGCAGCCGGACTCGACCGCACTACCTCACATGAAGTTGCCTCTCGGAGGCAGCTGAAGACCCCGGCCGTGAATCCGTCACTTTCACTCCAAATGCACACACACACACACACTAGCATACACACACACTGACAGTTCCTGGCAGGGACTCGAGGCCACAGCCCCACCTATCAATCGTCACACAACATACAACAAACAACAAGCAAAAAACAACAAGCATCACACAAAAAACAACAAGCAACACACAACACAGCACACAACACAACACACAACAAACAACACACAACAAACAACAAGCAACACACGACACAACACACAACAAACAACAAACAACAAACAACAATCAACAAACAACAAACAACAAACAACAAACAACAAACAACAAACAACAAACAACAAACAACAAACAACAAA